ACAAGGCCAACTAAATATCTTTTATCATGTTTTTCTTTAAACTTATATTGAATTTTGGCTTCAATCTTGGAAAATAACTCTTAATATGAAGCCTTATCAAGTTCATAAATGATATTAATAGATCAAACTATACTGATTTCTCTTGAAAAGGATCTTGCTTGCATCTTTTTTCTTTTTCTTTTTTTTTTTTGCATTTTTTAATTTATTTTAAGGACATACGTTATGATCACTTCTTTAAAAATAAAAATAATTTTTTTAAAAGTGATTGGCCTAACTTTAATGAAACTTTAATTGCAATAGATGAAGCAAAATGAGATGAAAATGTTGTTAGAGAATTCATAAAATTAGTTAAATAGTCATAACAGTCCATCAAACACATAAATAAGAATTAAAAATGATAAATATGAGAACTGATGAGAATAAATGAGATCTAAAAATTAGAATCATGATAAAGGATGCCAAAAAGAGAGTCCGATCTCCTTTTTGAGAGAATATGTAGAGATGTTTGCATGGTCATATGTAGATATGCCTAGACTTGACACTAAAATAATGGAGCATAGGTTGACATTAGTTCCTAAATGCAAACCGATGAAACAAAAATTAAAGAGAACAAGGCTAGATATTCTACTTAAGGTGAAAGACGAGATAAGAAAGCAATAAGATATTGGATTCGATATACTCGTAAAATACTCTTAATGGGTATCAAACATCATTATAGTAGAGAGTAAGGGATGAAAGAATTCAAATGTGTGCAAACTTTTGCTACTCGAACAAAGCTAGTCTAAAAGATAACTTCCCACTCTCATAAATTAATGTCCTGGTTGACAATGCAACAAAGAATACAACTTACTCATTTATGGAAGGATTGTCTAAGTACGGTCGGATCAAGATGGTCATGAGGATAAGAAGAAAACTACCTTTGTCCCATTTTGGGAAACTTTCTATTACAAAGTTATGCCTTTTGGTTTAAAGAATACCAAGGTTATCTTTAATAAAGCCATAGTCTTTATATTCTATTATATGATGCACAAAGAAGTGGAGATATATATGGATGAATGATTGCTAAGTCCAAAGATGGTGACGACCATGATCTAATTATGAGAAAACTGTTTGCAATAGAGGAATCCATCCAAATATTAGTTATAATTGAATCCTTCAAAATGCACATTTGAAGTAAATTTTGAGAAGTTGCTTAAATTTGTTATAAGCAAGAGAGGAATCGAGGTTAGATCCTAATAAGGTCAATTCTATCCAAAGTTTCCTAGCATCATCAACTAAGAAAGAAGTTTGAGGTGTCTTGGGCCATTTGAATTACATTGCTTATTTTATCTCTTAATTAATAAACACATGTTAGTCGATCTTTCAATTGTTATGAAAAAAATTTCTAGTGTATGGAATGATGATTGCCAAAAAGATTTTTGACAAAATCAAACAATACTTACAAAAACCACCATTGTTGGCATTGTTAGTGCTCGAAAGACCTTTGATTTTATACTTGATAATAACGAGTGTTAGCTATAAGAAGTGTCTTAGTTTAGCATGATGAATTAGGAAATAAAGAACAAGCCATCTACTACTTGTGCAAAAAGTCACTAACTGTGAGTTAATATAGATTTCCTAGTTATGTGGTATGGGTTGAAGTTATCCTAAATTTCTAATTGTGAGATTTTGGTTGAAGTCGTTGTAGACTTTTCAATTATGTGATGTGGTTCAAAACTATTAGAGGTTTATTAATTATATAGGTCGAAGTTGTCATTTTCTTTTCAATTGTGTGTTATGGGTCGAAGTCATCATAGACTTCTCAATTATGTGATGTGGGTCGATGTCATCCTAGACATCTTAATTATGCCATATGGGTCAAAATCATCATAGACTTCCCTATTATATAAGTCAAAACCATCGGAGATTTTCTAATTACGTGGGTCAAAGTCATCATAGACTTCCCAATTGTGTGATATGGTCGAAGTCATCATAGACTTCTTGATTGTGTGATGTGAGTTGAAATCATTATAGAGTTTCTAATTATGTGATGTGCATCAAAGTTGTTGTAGACTTCCTAATTATATGGGTTTTATCATCATAGAATTTCGATTATATGGGTTGAAATAGTTAGAGGTTTCTTAAAATTATGTTAGTCAAAACCATTAAAAGTTTCCCGATTATATAGGTCGAATCATTCATAGACTTCCCAATTATGTGATATGGGTCGAAGTTGTCGTTGGCTTCCCAATTGTGCATTGTGGGTTAAAGCCATTATTGGCTTCCCATCTTAAATATTTCTCTCTTTTCACTTTAGAGTAGGTAAATAGACCTTTTACCGACTTAAATTCTAAACTACTCGATCAATCTATCATAATATAATAGATTCACTCGAATAGGCATACATAAATAGCATAGTAAGACTAGATTTTGACATTCAACATACATGCAATGCAGCCTATCTTAGGTGGGACATGGTGGTGGTAATTTCAATTTTCTTCATCCATAACCAATCCCTTACCAAGATTTCTACGTAGACTAGCCATTTATGGGTTTTTGGTTCCTTAACAATAGGTGGTGACTCCTCTTTTTTTTTTTTTTTTAATTCCCTATCCTTTCTAGAGAGCAATTCGTTGAACCCTTGAAGTGGCATCCCCCCCCTAACAATAGAAGATCCCCCTAGCAATAGAAGATCCTCTTGCTTTGACATGCAAAATAAGTCTTTTTGGTTGGATGGAGGACTTTTTGATGCTTAAGTTAATAGTCGAAGTTGGTGATTTGGCTTGAGAATGCTCTTTTGTACTAGTATGTAATAGGTAGTGTGTAATTTAGTAGAAAAGAGGAAATTATACAAGATAAAGAACCCATAATGAGTGTTTCTAGAACCTATTTAGAGTTATTTGTGGTTATGTTCCTCTTCTTCCTTATTGATGGATTCATTCATCACTTGATTTTCTTGTGTGAATTTTTTCTTTCATATAGGCAGCAGTAGGAGCCTTTTGCATGGTAGAGAAGACATCAATGTCTTTTGCTCTTTAAGGCTAGTAGAAGAACCGACATGTATTATTAATTTTTTTTAATAATTATATGTATTATTAATTTTTTTAATAATTATATTTGATTTTATAACAATGTTAGTGCGATTGTGATGAATGATGATTTTATTGATATCCTTACTGATTATTCTTCATTAAATATTTTGTTTAGGGGTGATAGTGGAGAAATATAACATCTTCTTCTTCTAGGCCTAAGCGTTCTGGGAGGATTCCAAAGCCCTCCTTGAGAAGGAAGCCTTCTTTAGGAGGAGCCGATGTATTTTGAGAACTCTGAACTTTTTTGATGGACTAATTCTTCTTGGTAGGCCATGGACCTTGATTGCGCCTGATGAATTTTGGAGTTGGGGGCTCGTGGGCTTTTCTTATTAGGTTGTACTGGCAAAAGGCTCGCATCAGTTACCTAATTTTGATAATGAAAAAAGTCATCATAAATTTGGTATATTCTGTGAAACTTACGTTATTTTCTGTTAGTGACCCAAGGCTAGCAAAACAGTGTAACAGAATGATCTCATTTGGTTTCAATGGCAATGCAAGGCTTAAATCCAACAGCAAGCACATAATCATGCATAGCATAACCACAGTTTGAATCAATTTCTGAACATATTTGAAATTTTCGGTGAATAATATTTTGTGCGCGATTTGGCTGAATTAAGGAATGGTCAGACCATGGATCTATGTTTGAGGACTATTAAATGAGAATCCTGTCGTTTCCCAACTCTCTGATTTCCAAGCAGAAGGGATTTATTTCCAAGCAGAAGGGAAATCCATCCCTCTTCTTCCCTTTTTGCAGCAGTCAACTTTGTGCTATGCCCAAAACAAAGAGACATGCTTGTTATTCAAAGTGACCTCCAATATATCCTATATGGTCGTATCTATCAATTGATATCAAGGAAGTTTCACAATTAATCATGGGTCAATGTTGAGATATTTTTTAACATTATCCTTGCATAAAATAGGTGAAGTGTGCGTACCATAGGCTTGACCTACTGATATCCAGTCACTCACACCTCAACATTTAAGAGGAAAGTTTGGTAAAAAGAATGGAGAAAAAGAATATTTCATTCAAGATAAGCACAAGCTAGAAAGGGGTCTTATTCCATTTGAGCAATTGAATTTTCTTTGCTGCTTCTAAGGGTTTTTCTTATCCTTGTAAATCAACAGCTTTCAAAATCTAAGAAAAAGTAGCAGCCTAGCATGGTAGATTGATGACATTTAGTACAAATGACATGTTATCCAACAACTTTTAAGGTGGTAATGACCACCTTACAATTTGGTTGATCCAACACATGACATGTCTTTTTTATTTCTATTAAAAAAGAGGGGGTGGCATCAAAAAGCTAAAATGCAAGCTCAAAAAGCCTTATTGACAAGCCCTCACACAGTCAGCATGTTGAAGAAAAGAAGCCATATGATGCTGGTTAGGATTTATAACTACTAACTGTCCCAACTAATCAGGAAAATTAAAGACACAAGATTTTCCAAGAAAAATATTCTGAGCAAGCAAACAAAACAAAACAGGATGAGATTTTCACCTCCTGAAACCAGTTTAGTCTTGAATTTAACATGTTCTACGAACAGTTCTGTCGTTGTTAATGGTACTGTAAGAGAATGATCCCATTCCTTAGCTAATTTGTTTCAGAAGCACATGCCTTATCAATCAGCAAGTCTATTTTGAAGTCAATTACCAACCTCGGAAAAATGAAGTTTAGAAAATTTAAAATTTGACTGTGAAATGTATATTTTTAGTGTGATTCAAGGGAAAATAAAAATTAGAACAATAGGACCCTACAGTATATTTTCTTAAAGCGATTGAACATGCCATCGTTTCTATATCTTTTCTTAAATATATATCTTTATGAGCCAATAAGTATGCTTTTGTCCTTGTTGATGAGCCATAGGTGAGTCATGCAACCAAAAAGTTAAAGATTCACCAGGTATTCATACCCCTTTATATACACTTGCAGAATGCAAAGTTTGATCAACCTAAGCAGCCTCTACATCTCTCACAGCAAAATACACATATCTGCAGACATTTGCAGCCGTTCTGGAAGACAGTTCGAGTTATTAATTGCAGAAGTTGTCAAATTTTGCCTCGCATCAAATATGAAGACTTCATTTCAGAAACAAGTTATTGGAATTCCAATCAGATCAGCAGCACATTCAGTTCAGAAGATGCCAAGACTGTTAGTTGAACATGAGAAGCAGCACTATATTCCAACTCCTGCAAATAAATCTCTCACATGCAAACAAAGTACATTTCCTTGCCTCTGTTCCTCTCCTTCTCTACCCTAAATGAAAGAAAAAGGTTTGCTTTACTAATCAGCTAGTCTTAATTGCAGATAAAACAGATTCAATGATGAAAAGGATGGAGAAGATAGGGAAAAAAGCCCAATTTGCTCATGGAATCGGAGAGCATGGTGAGTTATTGAAAAGTTGATTCGTGATTAAGCCACATCAAATTTCTTCTCAATCAACATTGGAAGGATGCTAAATTCATCTTAATTTTTTACTGCAGTGAGAATGGGGACCAAGATCACTGAAACTCTTAAAGGGAAGCTGATATTGGGGGCTAGGATCATTCAAGTAGGAGGGGTGAAGAAAGTTTTCAGGCAGTTATTTATTGTTAGTGAAGGAGAAAGATTGTTGAAAGTTTGCCAATGTTATTTGTCAACCACCGCTGGTCCTATTGCAGGCCTCCTCTTCATCTCTACTGAAAAGGTTGCCTTCTGCAGTGAGAGATCAATTAAGTTGAACTCCTCTCCGGAAGGGAAATTTGTCAGAGTTCATTATAAGGTAACAAACAAAACAAGATTACTTCTCTCCCTCCCTCCCTCCCTCTCCAAATCTAGAATCTCTGATCTCTAGCATTCAAGAATATATCAATTTATGCAGGTCGTGATCCCATTAAGAAAGATAAAGACAACCAACGAGAGCAAGAATGTGAAGAAGCCTTCCGAGAAGTACTTAGAAATAGTCACGGTAGATGATTTTGATTTCTGGTTTATGGGTTTCTTCAACTATCAGAAAGCTATCAAGTCTCTTCAGGAGGCAATAACTCAAGCTCGGATGAATACACATCATTCAACTCTTATTTTTTAATCAAAATATAGGTTGTTCTTGGACATTTTTGGCAGTGGCAGCCATGAAGAAATCACTCAGCTAACAACTGGTAATTCGTCTCCCTCTCAGAGAAAAGGCTTGTTGGTTGCGAGACCGAAGGTGAAATCAAAGCTGTAATGATGGTTTGATGGATTATGCTTTTGAACTCATTGAACAAACAATGGCATTAACAACTGATGCCCATGTGAAGGAGCAAATATTAGGACTTGCAACACCAGCAAGGAAGCCTGCCGAACGGCAATGATAACTGGGGTTGGAGATGTGCCAGCAAACGGTGAAGCTGCTTGTTATAGGACAACCTGTTTCGTTGCCATCGATGCTGGGGATTCTGTTCCAATTCTACTCAAATGGCATCTTTACTCGAGAATGTGACACTCAACTAGACCACGGTATTGCAGCCGTTGGGCATAGAGTTAGGAACAAGGTATTGGCTGGCGAAGAACTCTATGGGGTGCGCAATGAGGCGAAATGGGAAGGACTCTACGGCATAGAATACAAGCCTCTACGGTTATAGAGTTAGGAACAAAGGACTCTCACGATTCTCACCCCCTGATGATTGTTATTTCTATCATCTACCAGTACGTATATGCTTGGTTCCCGTAATTTCTTCTTTAATCGGTTGTATAATGTTTCAGCCAGAACTTGAAGTATCTCATAATCAAAAGACGTCTATAATTCTGTACATGATTGTCTATTTATGTTATGATATAGCCTTTTCACATTGTTCCATAAACTTGTATCTTGATAACAATTAAATCAGAAGTTTATAAATTACAGGGGGAAATTAAAAGAATTTTGCGTAATTGTGATATTTTATTAACAAAGGCTTTACAAAATATATACTGCAGTCTATGATACAGAAGGAGAAAGAATATCAAGCTAATTAAAGGAAGATTACAGAAGATATTTAGAGAAAAGGTAATCTTAATTTAGTGTTCTATCAACTCCCTAACTTAGTGCTCTATCATGCCCCTGCAAGCGCTAGAGTCCGAGAAGGATTCTGATGCAGGCCGGAATTAAGAGCCAGCAAAGGATCGATGGGAAAATAAAAGGGGAAAAGGGATTAAGATGTACTGAAGGTAGTCCATGAATGGCACTCAACGGGGGTAGTGGATGCCACCTAACGCTACTAATCGCTGAAGCCACTCGCTTGATTGGTTTAGGAGGATTCAATCAACTCCAAGCAAGGATTCTTCTTAGATAAATTTTTTCTATTGAAATGGAAGTCTGATTCTTTCATTCTGATTTCATGTATAAATAGTATAAAAGATGGCCATTGCACTTCCTAATAGTTAAAGCCATGACATGTTTCGAAGATAAGAATTTAAAAGACAATATGGTTTCCTATAAAGTCTACTAGTTTCCAGCAATGTTTTATTTTTTATTGAAACTACATGAACTAAGACTCTTAGGATAAAGGAATTGTAGAACCACTTGAACTACGATTCCTAGGATAAAGAAATTGTAGAAATAGAGGCTGCTTTTCTGCTCCTGCACCATTCGCCCCTTTTGAAAAGAACTCAAGTTAGAGTTCAAAGCCACCTTAAGTTTGGACATTTCTCACCGTAATTTTGCAGAACGTATTAATTAGAAAATTCTGAAAAAGCTCATGCCAAGACACCTTCGGTGGCCCCAAAATTGCATGGTTTCTAGGGTGAGGCCAATAATACTTCATAGGAGAACGAACTGCATGTCTTTCCCTATTAACGAGTGTGGGTTGGTCCAGAGAACTGGATGACTTTTCATAAAATGACCTTCCAACATTAATATTCTATCCTAAGTCATGATATCCGTGAACACCATTGACAGGGCAGTAGCACGTTGTAGTCTCGAGCTTCTATAAGGCAATATCAATTATGGGACTTAGCTCACGTTCATATTCGAATGAACTCTTGTATATCCCTTTCACTTTCTGGACATCATTATTCCATAGCAATTTTAGCTTCTGTGTTTCATCCCATCTAAATCCAAGGCAAGAAGAAATTTTCTTCGACACCCTATGTTGTATGTTCCAAGTTTTGAACCAACTCCTTGAGTGGCTCTTCCCCGTTTTAGAGCCAAATTTTTCATTCATGCAGGAAGTGTTTTATCATGTCTCACGTGATATGATATTCTCTATTTTGTTGCCCTTCCTTATTTGTTCGGAAAATTCTTACCAAGCAAAAAGTTTGTTCCTTTTGTCCACCTAAATTTCTTATTCTGCCTGTCATCGTTCTGAAACTCATAAAAAGCCGTTCTCTTCCGAAATTTCAGTAAAATCCACTCTCTCTTCCGACACTCTACATTCAAAGCCCTTTGATTCACCAACAATTCTCTACCAAAAACAACATTCTCCTCTTCATTGGTCTTTATCTCTTTCGGCCCAGTCATCATATTCATCATACATCGGAGGTAATTCTCAATTAACTTTAGAAATCTTTCTTCATAACCTAAATCTAAAAACTCAACAAACTTCAAAGAAGACAACTTCACGGAAACGTCAATTCTGCACACCATTTTGAATGTTTTGAAAGAACAGAATGAAAATTCTGCAATAGTTAATAGCTTGACCTTCACTCAGTCAATTGTGGATATCTATTGGAAGAAAATTCAAAATCGAGCATCCTTTTTTTTTTTTTTTTTTGGGGAAAGTAGACAAACAAAGCTTTTTTGGCGGTATATAGAAAGACTCGTAGAGACCTATCAATAAGTATAGTTTAATAAAAAAGAGTCACATTGGAATCTGATGCTAGCTTGGTTCCAATGCATTCATTCCAATTTGATGCAGCCGGGATTTAGAACCCGGCAAAGGATAGGAAAATAAAAGGGAAAAAAGATTAAGATGTAAGGAAGATAGTCCCAGGATGCCACTTAACGCTACTAATCGCATAAGCTACTCAATGCAACCAAGCCACTCGCTTAATTGGTTTAGGAGGATTCAATCAAATCCAAGCAAAGGATTCTTGCTAGATAAATGGTTTTTTTTTTTTTTTTTTTTGATTGAAATGGAAGTCTGATTCTTTCGTTCTTATTTCATGTATAAATAGTGAAAAAGATGACAATTGCACTTCCTAATAGTTGAAGCCATGACATGTTTCTATAAATAATATCAGTTCATGGGCAAGATAAGAAGAAAAAAGAAGTTACGAGAGAAGGAAACGTAAAACGAGCATGAGAAGCCAAAAACGAGTATCACACTTTGATATTCCGGTACAAATATATACATGGTACCGTAGCACATATTACCGTAGCAATACCAACTCGGATTACAAAAAGTATTTCAAAACAAAATCCCACAAAATAAGGAGTTTCACTCCTTTTAAACTAACCAAGGATTACAAAAGGATACTTAAAGTATCTAGAAAATTCTCGCATTCTAACACTCCTCCTTGAGAATTTTCTTGGAGACTCCAAGCCTTGATCGTAGCTCTTCAAATTTGGCTTTGGAAAGTGCTTTAGTTAGTATATCAACAATCTGATTTTCCGAGCAAGCAATGAATCGATTGATCTCATCATTTTTCTCTCGCTTCTCTTATTACATGAAACTTCACATTGATATGTTTGGTTCTTCCATGCTGCACGAGATTCTTTGCAATAGCTATGGCCGACTTGTTATCAACCCAAATTACAGTAGCATCATCCGGACTTTGCCCCAAATCGTCGTGCAGCTTTCTTAACCAAATTGCTTGGTTTGCAGTAGCTCGTCGCAAGCAACATACTCGGCTTCGCCGAGGATTGAGCCACCACGTCTTGCTTTCTTGAATTCCATGAAAATACTCCACTTCCAAATGAGAAAGCATAAGCGGAAGTGCTCTTGGAATCATCTATACTTCCCGCCCAATCACTATCCGCAAATCCTTGGAGCTTATTACTTTCTTCTTTAACAAACCACAAACCATAATCAAAAGTACCTCCGATATATCTTAAAACTCTCTTAGCCGCACCAAGATGAATTTGACTCGGTGAGTGCATAAATCTAGAGAGCAAGCTTGCAGAGAACATTAAATCGGCCTTGTAGCAGATAAGTACAACAAACTACCAATTAGGCTTCGTAAACGAAGCATCCGTTTTGTTGGCAACATCATCCTTTGATAATTTCTCATTCACAATCAATGGAGTTGCCACTCGGTTTGGATCTTTCCATATGAAACTTCCTCAAAACTTCCAGAGCATACTTTTGTTGTGAGATAAAGATTCCAAGCATCACTTTGGTGAATTTCCATACCCAAAAAATACTTCATCTCACCCAAATTGGTCATTTCAAAATCACTCTCCATCTGCAGACATGAATTTCTTCAAGATTTTAGAATTATAACCCGTAACCAACAGTGTCATCTACATACAAAGAGACAATAAGCTGAATTTCATCTTGAACCTTCATCACATATAAAGTGACTTCACTTTCACTTCTTTTGAATCCTTGTTGTAGCAAATAAGCATCAATTCTACTATACCAAGCTCTTGGTGCTTGTTTTAAGCCATAGAGAACTTTGTGGAGCTTGTAAACTTTTTGGTTGCTCGAACATAAATATCATCTTCAAGCACACCATTTAGAAAAGCCGACTTCACATCGAGATGATGAATTTTCCAGCCCATCTTTGTTGCTAAAGCCATTAAAAGCCCGATAGTATCATGCCTAGTAACCGGAGCAAAGGTTTCTGAAAAATCAACACCATGCTTTTGAAAATACCCCTTTACAACCAATCTAGCCTTAAGTTTGTTTACGGAACCATCTAGATTATATTTGGTTCCGAAAACCCACTTAACACCAATGATCTTCCGATTTTCGGGCTTTTCCACCAGACTCCCAAGTTCTATTCTTATTTATCATTTTTAGTTCCTCCTTCATTGCAAGTCTCCATCCATCTTCTTTAACGACTTCATCATAACAAGTAGGTTCATGTAATACTACATCACATCTCTCATAGATTTCAGCAAGTGGCCTTGTTCCTTTTATCGGAACATCATCAAAGTTATCAACCCCAATTTCATCTTCTACT